TGTCGATGTCGATGAGGCTCTTGGAGTTCAGCACTGGAACGAGCGGTCGGTGGTCTGTGACCACCTCGAACTGCTGCATGCCCGAGAGGTACATGCTGCACTTCCGACAAGCCCATGCAACTGCCAGCATCTCAATCTCGCAGACGGCGTAGCGGGATTCCACATCGGTCAGGAAACGAGACCCACACTGGATCAGTTTCCATCGTCCATCTGCATCCTGTTGCCGCAGACAGAAACCCAGCCCTCGCAGGCGAGCGGCGTCGGTCTCCAGGACTGTCCGGCGCCGCGGGTCAAAGAAGTCGAGGACTGGTGGCGAGACCAGCGCCTTCTTCACATCACTGAAGGCTTTGGAGTGCAGCGGCGTCCACAACCACTCGTTCTTCGGTCGCAGGAGGTGTCTCAGAGGCTCGGCGGCGGCCGAGACGTCTGGTGAGAAGTCACCCATCTGGTTCACGAGACCGAGAAACGATCTGAGGTCCGTGAGGCACGCCGGCTGCGGAAACTCCGCGATGGCTCGCACCTTCTTGTTGTCTGCGGTGTAGCCTGTCTGGTCAATCTTGAATCCGCAGAACTCCACCTCATTCCCGGCGAAGGAACACTTGTCTGGGTTCAGTGTCATCCCGTGGTCATCACATCTCTGCAGGATGTTCCACACGTGCTCCAGGTGAGCTGAGTAGCTCGAGTCGTACGCCAGAATATCGTCTACGACTTTGCATGTCTGGGGAATGTCACCGAGAGCAGCGTCGCCTCTTCGGTTGTACTCGTCTCCTGACGAGATCAGACCCATGACGGCACGTTTGTAGCGGAAACGGCCCCATGGCGTGATGAAGCACGTTTTGTCCTGGTCCTCCTCGCGGATGGGGATCTGGTGGTAGCCAGACTTGCTATCCAGCTTCGTGTAGAAGTTTGCACCGCTGCCGATCGAGGCCACAGCGTCGTGCGGCGACCGGACTGGGTACGCTGGCCTCTTGACGAATCGGTTCAGCTTGGTGAGGTCGACCGTCAGACGGCAGCCAGAGACCGTGCCGTCCGGCGACCGCTTCGCCACCGGCACGATGGGGTGGCACCACTCGGTCGGATGCTCCACCGGCTCGATCACGTCACTCTCCAGCAGCTCATCCAGCTGGCGCCGAATGTCGTCACGCCAGCAGAACGGTACACTGCGAGCTGTGGAGACGGCAACTGGTGTGGCGTCTTCAGTCAACTCGATGGCCATTGAGCCTCCGGACATCTTGCGCAGCTTCGAGGTGACGTCAAACACTCGTGGGAAGGCTTCCTTCATCGCTGAGAAGTGCTTCCGTCGTTCTTCAGCCGATGGCACGCCTTTGCTTTCATCCCACGTCGGCTTCAGCAGGTGCACCTTCTGCGCCTTCCCGGCGTCTTCAAGAGCAGGAGCAGAGCCTCGTTTGACCACTCTGCGGGGTATCTTGCTCTTCCCTGGCATGGTCTTCAGGGAGCAGACCGCTGGAGCTGGTCGGGAGGTCTCCTCCTCGTCTGAGATGGCAGAACGGATCTGCTGTGGGAACTCCTTGTGCAGTATTCCCAGTCGAACAGCGTCGTGCCACGACAGCAGCGAGCTGTGCAGCTTCTTCACCACAGAGACGGCTATCGTCCTCTTGATGCTTCCCAGCTGCAGTGCGACTTGGCATGCTCCCAGGCAGGGCAGTTCTCGTCCGTCTGCTGCGAACAGGCTTCCAGAGGGCGGCGTCAGCTGCTTAACGTTGATGCCCATCTGCTTTGCTGCCTCAAAGGAGATTACAGACACCTCAGCGCCTGTATCTGGCGTCCATGTCGTTTGTTGCCTGCGACCGTCACTCCGATGCAGCAGAATCTGGATCTGCGGAGCACGCGTCGTATGCAGGCCTTGGATCATGCAGTCTCGGTGCTGCTGGTCCACTGTCTGTCTGGCAGGTGCAGATGCCGCTCGCGTCTTCATTGTGACGAGCGACACACGTCTGCCTCCATCGGACCTCCGCTGGGTCCGGTCTGTGCTCGCCGCCGGAGCGCGCGAGCGACTGGCGCTGCGACCGCGGCAGACGGACGCGAAGTGGCCTAACTTGCCACAAGCTCGGCAGGTCCTCTTGGCGGCCCTGCAGTCGCCGGCGCTACGGTGAACTTCACCACCACAGCGGGGGCACGTCTTCTCAGCCGACCGGTCTCTCGGGCGACCGCGGCTGCGCTGGTACTGAGAGACCCTCGCCAGGGTCGAGCCAGCTGGTTCACGAATGGCTGAGCTGTTGGAGGCGGCATTCTCTGACGCTCGAGCGATATCCACTGCCTTCTGAAGCGTGAGATCCGGCTCTTCCAACATTCTACGGCGTGTTTCTTCGTCTCGCGTGCCGACAACGACTCGATCTCTGAACCTGTTGTCCTGGCAGTGGTGACAGAAATCACAGAACGATGCGATCTCCTTCAATCCACAGAGAAAATCGTCCACTGTTTCGCCCGCTTCCTGTACTCGCATGTAAAAATCTCTCCGATCAATGATGACGTTACGCTGGCGGCGCAGATGCGTCTGCATCGCCGTGATGATGGTGTTCATATCAGCGTCTTCGGGGATCGGCAGGCCGTACCTGACCACCCTGGTCCAATCATCATCAAGCAGAGCGAGTAGGGCTGCCTTCTGCTCGGGCTGGGCTAGCCTGTTGACGCCAGTCAGCAGACTGTAGCCGTGAAATTTCTGTCGCCAGGATTCAAACTCCTTCAGTGACGCCGATGACGACAGCTGTGGAGCGGGAGTCGCTGATGCCGGCAGTCTGGGCGGTAGACTGACGGCTGCGCTCGTATCGGCTGGGGTGGCCGCTGCAGTAGCCGCCGCGGCTGCAGCGCCGGCCCCTGCCGCCGGCCCGGCCCAGATCCGTTCCATTACGGCCACCATTCGCTCCTCCCGCTGCTGGCTTTGCCGCTGAGCTTCTTGAGCCAGCTCCAGTTGCTGGGCGAGGAGTTGGGTGAGGGCTCCCAGGTCCACCGGCTTGTCTTTCTCCGCCATTGCGAGAAACGCGCGCGAAAACCGACGAAAAAATGCTATATTTAATGATAAAAAGTAAATTATACCGATCGCGCCATGTTATGGTTTTACATTTAAGTCTACGTTAATAATGGTTCGATAGCAAATTAATTATCGTCGCGATTCCACCGCCCCAGATGCACACGCGCACTCCCGATGTGAACTGTATTGAGTCCGGCTGACGACTGCACAACAATACTCTTTACTCAAGGACGCCGGAAGCTGCCGGGCGGCACAGCCTACCATCAGGCGCCGGCCGGCGCCGCGGCGGCTGGCAACAGCTGACTGCGCCGGCATACTAGTTCGTGCCGGCTCAGTAGCACGCATCACAACAACGATCACCCAGAATGGGAGCCTGCTTCATTACGGTTAGGAGCTACTCTCGCCGCACACCGGTGACCGTCCAGCCAGAAGTTCAACGTCGCGTAGTGAGGACGACGATGGGTAGAAACAACAGATTGAGGCCCCGAGGACAGTAACAACAGATTTATACCTATGTAAAGGAGAATTTGTGGGACACGGAGTTAAGTCGCCTGAAACCCCGAAATGTAACGTGTTGCTGAGCGAAAAAAAAAATGGTATCAGGTAAACAAAATAAACACGTGAAAACATTCTCAGGTAATCGGGTATATCACTGTGCTCACATTGCACCCATGTTTCGTTTACGCCTTTTTATGCGCGCTGACACCTTGCAATAAAAATTCGTTTGTCTTTTCTCTTTTGTCGGGCCCCCAGGTCCCAGTAGTGACATTTTTACCCTGATGGAGGGGGGGGGGCGGTGACTGCGGGGGTTTGGCCCCCATTTAACATGTTAGACGAGACCCTGCGGCTTGGTCACCACCAGACTGGTTTAGGTTTAGGCTTAATCGGATGGACTGGGGTAGAACTAGACTAGGTGACTATTTGGTGCCCACGTGAGGTACAAGGTAGGTACTAGGCATACTGGTCACTGGACTGATTGAATCTAGGGTATAGTCGTTTGCACCATGAATTGGTCTAGGCGGTTATTGAAAATGTTACTGCTGTTTGTCAGTACAACATCTTCTGGTAGTTTATTCCAATCATGGGGTATATGATTTGAGAAGAACTTTGCCCTTTCATTAGTTTTCAATCTTTTGACTTTCAGCTCCTTGCTGTGGCCCACGCCTCTGCAAAGCGTGGGCCTTGTCAGGCCGTAGTCACTAGCATACCTATAACATGTTAGTTTTTGTGACGTCATCGTGCAAATAATGCCTTTTTCTGAAGAAATATCTTTAAAGGAATTATCAGGGTTTGAAATTGAAGGGAATCAGCATAAGTTGCCTATCAGTAAACCATGCAGGCTCTGCTGATTTCTACGATATACATAGCTTGCACAATGGTGCTATGTTTTGCAAGTTATAGCAGTTTGAAAATCGGCAAAATTGTACTTACTCCCGCAAAACAAGTACTTGGGCGGCCAAGCTGGCCCATCACTAAAAGGTAAACAAAGAGCGGGCTTGAGAAATATCGCAAGACTGACGATTTCCACAAGATGTCTGTGCTTTGCATTGGATTGTGATGTACGATGCACTTTCTTGTGAAGAATTCGAAAAATGGAAACAGTTTGAAGATTTGCTCTTCATAAAGCAGCAAGATTTTGGAACTCGTAACTCCAACATTGCCTACCTACCACAAAGTAAATGCACAGGGCTGGCATCATTGGTGAAACAGGGCCCCAAGATCTCGTCGAAACCTGCCACGTTTTGCAGTCTGGGATCACCAGATTGGAAAAATTCATATGCTACTCTGGATGCCCTGAAGATTCTAGTGCGTTATAGATTGGGGTAAACGATTAGGCACTGAAATTTTGGCATGATTGGCACAGAAAGTTATGGCTGTTTTGTGTCGAGCTTTTACCTTTTTAACATTCAAACACATACCTATATGAAACTTTGGGACCGCAGCGTCCAAGACCGCCTTTGTGGATCCGCCAGTGCCTCTTGACAGCCACTATGTGCCCTTCTGCCGGCAGAATGTCTGGAGACCACAGCTCTGACGAGGGATACGTTGTCCGCGCCCGCGGCCTGCCCTGGTCTGCCACAGAGGAGGATGTCATGAAATTCTTTGGTGAGTCAATCTCTGGTAACACATCTCTAGTCATGAGGCGGAGTCCCAGGATAAGGTGCACTGCTTTGGAAAAGTGATTCTAGCTAATGCTAGGTTGTAATCGACCACCCTATGTTTTATCTCGTCATGTAACACATATCTCCGCTGTCTGTTACAGACAACGTGAACATCAAGGGCGGCACTGCTGGCATCCAGCTGACGCTATCACGCGAGGGCCGACCCAGTGGGGAGTGCTACGTCGAGCTCTGCTCCGAGGCCGACCTGGATGCCGCGCTCAAGAAACACAACAACAACATGGGACACCGCTATGTGGAAGGTAACGGCTTTAGGATATGCGTTGGGTTGGTGAGAGGATTCAATCACTAGTTCTAGAAGATGGTGACTTCTATCATGCTAGCTCCAATGATAATGAAATTTTTGGCTTAGAATGATTGTGATTCGCGCCCTATACCCACGACATACACCCAACCGGAGCGAATTTGCGTGGGTGTATGTCGGCTATATCTGTATGGAATTATCGCCCAGTTTTGCTGCTACTTCGGCATAGTGGTGCCTGCTAACGGCGTGTGATGTCCGGCGAGTATTCCCTACGTTTACCCTATGCATTATGCAGCTAACGCCTTTTCTTCCCCGCCTTTGCAGTGTTCCGCTCCAAAAAGTCTGAGATGGACTGGGTAGTGCGCCGCTCGGGCGCCGCGGCTGCCTCGCCGGCCGATGAGGGCTGCGTCCGTCTGCGCGGTCTGCCCTACAGCTGCAGCAAAGAGGAGATCGCCAACTTCTTCTCCGGTGAGCTGGGTTCCATGGGACAGGAGCGGGTGGTGAGCCCAGGCGGGCGTGTGTGAGCGTTAGGGAGACTCCCGGCACCAGATGGATATAACAGACAGTCACCATTACGCTGGTGGAGAAAAAGTCGCATTTTTAACATCATAGGGCATGATAAGGCACAACTTTGGGCACAGGTCGCTTCATTTCTTTAGGGTTTAGGAGGTGCCTGGGACAAGGGCTGTTGCTAAGGCTGAATATCATACATATTTAGAGACATTGAAGCTGTATGATACGTAGCGCAGATGGCGTCCTTGAGAATTTGGTTGGGCTTATCCCATTTTAGCTACACGATTTATTCGGGCAAGCATGGCGTCAAACTTAATGAATACCTTAAGCCTTCACGGCAATTTTCACGATCTACCAGGGTTCAGTATTATAAGCGTGTGGTGTTGTCCCCTTCCCGTCCTGACCAGACCCGTTCTCCAGTTGTGGTACCTGAGTGTGAGTGTGCGTACCTGTCTGTGAGAGTGCGTGAGTGCACGGGCCGGCCGGGGTGGCAGGCGCGCGTGCGCCGGGGCGGGCCGGCGAGTGACGCGCCCATCTGTCTGTTTCTGGGTCTGCAGGGTTGGAGGTGGTTCCCAACGGGATTACCATCCCCCTGGACGTGCAGGGCCGGTCGTCTGGGGAGGCCTACGTCCAGTTTGTGGACAAGGACGTGGCTGAGCGGGCCATGGAGAAAAATAAGGAGAAAATCGGACACAGGTGGGGGCAGAGCTGAGCGCGCGCGGGTGAGGTGAGGGTGGCGGTGACTCAGGTGGTTACAGGAGACAGAGCGGCGCAGAAGACAGAGCGCGGGAGAGGTGAGGGTGGCGCCGCGCCGGAAGGAGAGAGCAGGTAGAGGTGAGGGAGACGGCTGGATCGGCGCTTCGCTACCGGTGGATGGGTGGCACCCAACGCTCGGGAGAGGTGAGGGATTTAAACGTGTTATAATGTAGTTTATTGAATTCGGAATATGCTATTTGGATATGGAAGCCTAAGATGGGCGAAGTTTTGCCCCACATTGCAGTTTAAACTTGAAGTGAAGCCCACTGAAGTCAAAATCTTACGGAAGCTGAAACAGCCGAGTATTGCTGGCATTTAACGACCACATACCATTATCTTGAGGGATGTAGCAAAAAAAAAAAAAAATATCGCACTATTTAAGATCATTCAAATTACTTGTCTTCGTTGCCTGTCGTAGGACACGCTAGGCAACTTGATACTCAAGTCAACCTGTTGGTTGACAAATGCTTCGTATCGACTAGTTACGATGCTCTGGCTTGATTTTAGCGGAGTCTGGAAACTTCCGCACTCTCAGTCGACATTTATTAAAGACAAACAGGTTGACAATTTTTACTCGTGTTATCTGAATGTGGTGGGTCGAAACTATTATGAATTATAATGGATAAGAGATGCGCTGACGCTTATTAAAGAACTTACGCTAGCCCAGTGCATTTTAGGACGTTAGCGATACGATTTTGCGAGTCTTGGGTTCAACTCGAATGCTCGATATTACGGTAATGCTGTTGTTGAGGGCGATTCTCGCTACATATTAGCCAGCTGCTCTAATGGGTTGAATTTCGCGTCAGCAAAGCACCCAAACACGTGACTGTTATAACTTGGTTGACGTAATGTTTGACGCTTCGATAATTGATGATGTGGAAAGGTGTCGGCGCTCATATTTGAATGCTTCCCGCTTATTTATGCTTCTTCCGTTTATTGGTCATTTATGGCAAAGTGGGTCACTTGTGCATTTTGCAGGTTGAAACAATTTCCTTTTGATTTATTATGTTGAAACGAAAACTTTATTGAAAAATTTAAAGGGACCCTCCCACCTTCAAAAAAGTTTATGAATTGGCATGAAAGTGATGTCGCTCGGTTCAGAAAGAGCGAAAACGAATATCTACCAAATTTCACCGTAAAATATTCACCGGTTTTCAAGATATTAGACTTTTACTTTTGTTTACTTTTTTGGGATCTCCGCTGTTTCTAGCGACTTTATTTTAGAAGTGCGGCGTTTGCGACAGATGTTGCGCGCAAATAGCATATACCACCGCGTGCTACAAAACGTTTTAGTCAAACATTTAAAAATCGTTAGATATTTGCGCTGACGTCACACATTCAGAGGGGTATTCCTAAGCATTAGCCCCTCTGAATCAAAATGCTGCAATTTTGAAATTCAATATTTCCGATTTAAGGCATTTCTCGATGTTGTGAGTGCCGAAACCGGTAATTGTGAGCCAGGGACCCCATTTTGGCTATCTCAACTCAAATCTAATGTTAAGGTGGGAGGGTCCCTTTAAGCTAAAACTAACATATTAAGCGACATTTCTAAACCAAATGGCGAATGCACAGCAATGAAAAACAAATTATCGATTTTTTACTATCATCAAACATTTTTTTAGATGAGCCACATTCTGTGGAGCTGCAAATTTAGCTACTTAGTATGAACTGATGTTTAACGAGGGTCATATTTTTGTCTTTGAATTATTGAGTATAATTGTGTTAAGAGTTAAGACCCTTTCTTCGTACTATATTGAAGGCGTAGTGACTGTGTCCCCACCCCACCCCCCTACACCCTCCTTGTGCTGATGCTGCGTGTAGACTGTATGTATAGGCAGGCTCACCACACTGGAAGGGAGCTGGGAGCGGCCATCGGCTGGGTCGGCGGGGACCGCTCAGGGAGGTCGCCAAACAACGGGAGGTCAACATATCACCGGGGAGGTCAACAAAACAACGGGAGGTCAACAGCGCACCGGGGAGGTCAACAAATCACCGGGGAGGCCTGCAAATCACCGGGAGGTCAACAGGTCTTCAGTTGCAGCGATGGAGCTTATCCTGCTCTGAGCCTTGCTCAGACCTGCCTGAATGTTGTGTTGACTTAACGCTTCTTGATGCATTTTTTTCAGGTGGACTTCTGTAAGAAATGGTTATGTTTTCGTGCTCGATTGTAGTCTTATCGGCTGTTTTTGTTTGTTTCTGCTCTTGATCCTTGGGAATCTGGCCTGTTTAATTTCTTCCGCGCACATTTAATCATCACCGGGTCAGATATTTTAGCTTCTTTCACTGATCACTTATTCTGGTAAAAAAATCTCGAGTTAGTTTACACGTTTCTAAAAGTTTCCACTTGGGAATTCGATTTTAGTGCAGTGACATTATCGCCGTGGATTTAACATGCTATGTTGTATTGCTACCAATGGGTGTGTTTCATGATGCATTCTGAAAGTATATATATGCTCTCTATCGCCCTTACTTCCCTTTCCCTTCGCACATTTCTCAAATCCGAATATTAATGATGTCTGGTCAAACTCATGGAGCAATTACCAGCCTATATTGGGCAAGCTTATCAGCTACATTTTAGTTCGTTTTCGCCGTTTTGCCGGCGGTGTTTAGCATTTGCTATTATCTACATTTATTTTAGCTGTTATATTTTCCTGAAATTCTTTGGCAATGGTACTGAAAGTTAAGATATGCATTATGCACCTTTTCAATTTTCATATTTAGATACTGCCAGTTGGCATAATTCGTCTCAGCAGAAACAATTGCGAATATTGTTTGCACTTATTTTTTGACATGTTGGTGCAGAATTCTTTGACCTGTATATTGCAACTTATCCTTGAAGTAGACGATCCACACAATACTGCAAAATTTCGTTCTTACAACTTTGTCCTGGAAGTTCAATCCTACATGATACCTGCTGCCTGTTTTTGCCCGTATTCTTGAGTGTTTTGTTTCCTAAAATGAATGTGTGCTGTTCCATGAGTATTGTGCCCTGTTTCTACCCATCCAGTCATTGCGTCTATTATCATCGGTCGTGCTTTTTAATGTTCTTGCTTCTCGTATCCTTACCAAGAGTGACTTCAGTCCCTCAGTAAAAGTATCATTATCATTCTTTATCTTCCTGGTCTTATCCCCAATGACATTCTTTCATTACACCAATGGTACTTTTTCATGTCTATCCAACTTCATCCTATCTCAGAGTAGCATCCCTGTCATTCCGTCCTCTCATCTCGCCTCCCCCTCACCGTCCTATAAACGGCGTCATCTATAGCGAGTCCTACCGGCCGGCAGGTACATTGAGATCTTCCGGAGCAGCCTGAATGAGATCCGCGCCGCCCAGGGCGCCGGCAAGGTGCGCCCGCTGTCGGCCCGGCCAACCCCGTACGACCGCGCCGACCGCTGGGGCGGCGGTGGACGCTTCGGAGGCCGCGGTGGACGCAGAGGTAGTTGTTCGTTGGAAAAACAAGGGTATGAAAGCGGCATGGGACTGCAGGAGGAGGGAGTTGGCTGTGGTGGGTGTTTTGAGAAAGGTGGGACTGGGAAAGGTCACTGATAAGACCTAATTATTTGTGTTCATTTGCGAAGCGGCTTTGCATGGGCTGCCCATAAAAAGTGAAAATATAAAGGAAAATGTGTATCCCGCATTAGTTTGTTATCATGCCGTGAATGTCGAAGCGTAATTCATCAAAGACGCTGAGTTATCTGGCATGCTTATCTTTCAATTCACTAAGCAACATGTTTATACGAGCTTGGTTCGTTTCACTTGATTCATTTCGCAATGAACTGATATTTCCTACATTATCCGCTGACGGCTTACCGGTCCCACCTTGCAGGTTTCCAGTCGGACTACGACGAGTACTACGGTGACGCCAGCACGGGCACCTGGGGCGCCACGGGCGCTGCCAGCGGCGGCATGGGCCGCGGCTCCGGCGGCGGCGGCGGCGGTATGAAGAACATGGGCGGCAAGGGCTGGCAGAGCATGACTGGCCACACGGTGCACATGCGCGGCCTGCCGTTCCGCAGCACTGAGTCGGACATCATCGACGTGAGTGAGACGCAATGTGCTGGTGTGTAGCCATTGTGTAGTGGTCAGGTTGTTTGTGAGGTGGCTGCAGCTGCCTCGGTTATCTTGATTCTCCGTGCAGTGTGCATAAGACTTTTCACATAGATCTGCTGGTATCTGACCTGTGCCTTCGAAGTCTGTATGCATCTTACTTGTCATGACTTCGGCGTGCGATAATAGCAGATCTACCAACACCTGTTGAGATCCGATCCTGAGTCCCTAATGTATATGTATCAGGGTGTGCCGCTCCCATGTGTGCTCCATCTGACCTGTGTCCCCTTCATCCCTGGCAGTTTTTCCGTCCGCTGAACCCTGTGCACGTGCACATGCTGTTTGACGACTCTGGCCGCCCGTCCGGCCAGGCCAACGTGGACTTCTCCACCCACGACGAGGCCGTCAAGGCTATGGCCAAGGTCGGTATGAGCGCCGCCGTTTGGGGAAAACATGAGATGGGGATTCGTGAGGGAGAGCATTGATAACGCTTATGACGTGGTCTTGCTTATTAAATGCAGCTAGCAAACATATTTGCCTACCTACCTGATGCATTTACGTGGTCGATATAGTGTGTATTTGTTTTATGCTGTTCGATGCTACCTGGTTAACTAGCGTTTTCCACGCGTAGTACATGGGCCCTTTTTACACCACAGCTTGATCGCTAACCGCCTTCTTCTCTCTCTCTCTCTCCCTCTCCATACTCTAATCACGCACAGGACAAGTCACACATGGCTCACCGGTACATCGAGCTGTTCCTGAACAGCACGCCGGCCGGAGGATACGGCGGCTACGGCGCCATGGCCGGCGCCGGAGCCGGAGCCGGACAGGCGGCCGGAGGTCTGGGCCGGGCCGGGTTTAACGGCGGACAGTGGGGCGACGCTCAGCAGGGCGGGTACACGGACGCCGCCTACGGAGGTGAGTGGCAGGGTGAGTGAATTGCGGTGGGTATACGGACTTCCACGGAGGAAGGTGAGTTACTCGGTGGATGCGATCATGCGTGGATGGTGCTAACTGTTTACCAAGGCCGGGCCGGGAGAGGGGGGTGTCCTTACTGCTTACTTTGGTACACGGACAGCTGCATAATATGACAGGTGAGTGACTTGGGGTGTGTACACTGGCGTCGCAAGTGACTATGCTACTTGGACAACGCCTTTAGAGGAAGGTGAGTGACGAAGATAAATTTTATGTGTGGATTTAATGCTAAATGATGATTCAGATGAGGTGACTTACATTTGATATCCTTCTTGCAATATTTCCTTGACGTGCAATCCCAGCTCCATTGACGTGCCTGTCCCCTCACCATGCACGGTGTCTGACCGTCCGCCCTCTCGCCGTCAGGTGGATTCGGCGCCGGCGGGTACGGCGCCATGGGAGGCTTCAACGGCAGCTCCCAGATGGCCGGCAACAGCTACAGCGGCACCTTCATGTAGACGCCCCTGGGCCGTGGCCGCTGCTGGCGCGTCCCGGTTCGGCCGCCGGCTGACATTCAGCCCAGCGAGGCGCCCCCGGCCGGCCAGCTCGGCCTGCGCCGCCGCCGCCGCCGGCACCCCGACCTCCCCATTGTCAGCATTGTCATTCTGTCTCATCGCTCGCGCGCGCGCACGTCTGTTCGCCGCGTAATACAGTTGTGCGCGGAGAAATGAACTAGTTTGGAGTGGAGCGGCTACCTGTAAGAATCTTGGGAGGGACAGTGGGGGTTCGGGGGAGGGATGCTATTGGCGACATGATGGACACGTATGAAATGTGGAGTTCGATGTTCCAAAGATATGCTGATGTAGGTCTCATGATGAGCAAGCCACTCAGAAAGTGAGATCCCGTCGGCAACGGGCTACGATTTACGGAAGCCTGTTACGGTACTGATCAAACGATTGGGATGGATAGTAAATTACGGGCGAATTTCTCTGTCATGTTGACATGTCAGCATTGCTCTCCTGCAGTACCCGGTCACAATAAAAATGCGTACCAGTAATTGGTATTCTTATGGGTGGGCGAGCATAATGTTTCATTTGCTTTTTTATTTCGTTTTGTACTCCACCACTCTACGCACGTTTGCAGGGGCTTTTACTTTGGATCGGTACGTGTATTTAAAAATGCGGGCAATAACTGAAAATTCGATTCTTTGGGTAGGGAATCACTAATCAGGGATGTCGGGGTGGGGTCAAGGAGCTGAGTTCGTCACTCGCCGGAATCTCAGAAACAATGCGCGATATGCTTAGTGTCACAGTTAACATGTCATGGTCTTAGTGACTCTGTCGAAATCTAAACGTCCGTTTGCTACAGTAGCAATCGTGTTACGCAAGTAATCGTGTACAGTAACTGATCGTGTTTGGCGATAAATACGTACACTTTATTAAATAATGGTAGCAGGATGCCCAGCGCTGGCCGGAGAGGATTGGATATCCTTTTATCACGGGGCTGCACCATTATGGTGCAGCCCCGTGACATCCCGAACGCCCTCATACAGGTCCCTCCGACTAGCATTGAATTCTGAGACTGTTGTTGACCCAAGACGAAATGGAAGCCTCAGCGCGGGAACAACGCTCTGAGATGGGGTTGAGGGCATTTCAGGATAGACGCTGAAACTAGTGGGACCCTGCAGGCTGAACCTTTGGCTCGAGCAAATGGATCTGCACCACTGGGTCGGATGCTGTCGATCCTGTCGGAGCTTTGGCTTACTGTTGGGACTTGCGTAGGAGACTTTGGTCGGTCCTGTAGACCTATCCCCTTCTTTCCCCCTGACCTCTACTTTACGCTACGCGACAAGTGGCAAGGCCTTCTACATCGTGGCTAAGGTGAATAACTCCGCCATTTTAGGGCACGCGTGTTGGGTAGCGTGCGCCCGTGGGCTTGGAGCTATAGCTCGTTACCGCGAGCCCCTGCGACTTTATGAGTGCTTAGTTAGAGCGACAATAATACTTCATGCGAAATGCGCATCCACTTCAGTTGGCCACTTTCAATAGGTTTCTCAAGCGTTGCATGATGGTCAATATTAGACGTTTCGTGCTTTGTATGGTGTATATTACAAACAACGTGCATAATCTACGAACATCTCGTACGAATGACAACTCTCGGCAAAAATAATGCACAGCACAATCACATGATGGAAGCGGGATGCAATGCCACAATGAACTAGACTAAACGACTGGTTCGGACTGGTGTGGTACTCTGTAGTTTACACAACTGCCGCCAGTCGCCGCCACCCGCGCACCGTCGAGCCGTCCGCACTGTAGTATCGCCCGCCTCCGCTGGCGGCGCCACCGTCGCCGCAGGCACCCATGGCACTTTTCCACAGACACCGGATCAGAAAGAACACGGCAGTTGCTGTCGTCTGAGTGAAAGGAAACGGCCGATGCAACCGCCAGGCCACAAAAAAGGAAACGAACAATACCACCAAAAACACAGCACATCGGACTTAGCTCCAAAACGGCCCCAAAGTCAACCCTGGTAGTGAAATTATCCCTACGAAATGAAACTATGCTTTCCGGATAACAGAAACATCAAACAAGGCAAACCTTCTATAAAAAGTGTTTCAAGAAAAGAACCCAGATCCCGATCAGCTACCATTAATACCCAAACACTCCCTGAGCCCCGCCCCGGCCCAGCTATGGCCAGCAGCCGATTCCTCCCAAACTGAACGGGTTAATGGACCACTGACGCCACTCTGGGCCGGAGCGGTCCAGCTCTCCTCTAACTCAGGCGGTGATCCATCCGGCAGTGACCAGGAACGAGAGGATCTGTTTGCGGTGGTGCTTGTCGAGGCCTGTGAGCGCGCGGGGTCGGACCGGATCGCCACGACACCGCATCAGCTGGTCGCTGAGGAGACCCGTCTTCAGCGCCACGTAGTTGGCAGGCCGCAGACGGAGGCGGGCGCACAGCTGGTGGAGAGGGAGGACAGGGGTAAGAAAGGTGTCGTTCATCATGCAGATTTCAACTGCCGTAAATTATGGGCACTTTACAGTTAGAGAAACGAATCATAGGAGACGATTTCTTCCAGCTACCAGAGGTGAACCATTTAATTGTAAAGTCAAAACAAAATAAGCTAATCATGCATGCTAAGGAACGCTTCAGACCGACTTGAACGATGGAAAGCACAATTTAATTACCACAGCCGAAAAAAATCGATAGGACGGTTTGTAAACACGACACGAAATATATCGGTGGCGCCGATCAGTCCCCAACTCGTCAAACCTCCACCTCCTTCCAACCCCGCCGTAGCATCTCACCCGTTTCTCGGCTTTGCTGAGCATGTGGTAGCCGGCGGACTCGTTCAGCGGCTCCGGTTCGACGGTGTACGGCGGTGGCGACGGCGGCGACGGGGGCAGCTCCTCAGCGGCCGCCGGACCGACCGCGGCCTGGCTGAGACTGCTGCTGCTGCTGTCGCTTGTCGAGAAGCTCCCGCTGAGCGAGGATGAAGCGCCAGTAGCGAGAGTTTCGCTCTTTCTTTCGGGAGAAGCGCAGCTTTTTCTTGCGCTTTGTGGCCTGCAGATGAGAACAAGACAGAGGTTAGCAAGACCGGCGGACGATTCAATACAGTGATGTAAACTGATCGCCAACATCTTACGCATAACGCTTTAAAAATGACGAAATCCATGAAGCGACGGAACACTGGAAGACTCTGGAACACGCTATGGCAATTTCTTTTCCTATCTCGGCTCGCACTTCCACTGCCGAGCTCGTCATACAGTCTCGTCTGCGCGCAATTTAGAAACTTAACCACTACCTACTGGATTATGGGTCAAGACTCTTTTACCTAAGTGCGCAGCTGTCTTGGGCGGATGCATCATTACGCGTTTTAGGTCCATTGCTACCAGAATTTATCCAATCGCCCATCAGGTGATCGCTAGAGTTAGCGGTTTTTAAGGCCATCTCTGCACGCGTGGGTTACTGCACCTCGGGCTCTGTATGTGCCTGTGTGTGTGTGTTGCAGTGAATCACTCACCCGAGCAGAGGCGCCTGCGCCTGCCGGGACTCTGGATCGTGTGCCTACGAACAGAGACAGGGAGACCGCCGTCAGAACCAGAGAGCTCGGCAAACCGCCCACGATTCGCAACCGCACGCAAACGGCCTGCGATTGTATAAACGCCCTTATGGTGGTCCAAGCGAGCCTCTTTCCCATGTCTCTCGTAACCAGAAACGGGTTGCCCGCTACCGCAGGCTAGTGGTAACGAGAAATTAATATGGTGCGTGTGCGTGTTTGCGGATTAGGCCCATGCACTGGGACATCCACAGAACTTTACTATTGTGTGGCTCGGAATTCACCGTAGTAACAGCACGTAATTATGCGCGCCAAAGTTTCCCCGAGATGTTCCAGATGAACGATATTTCAGCTATAGTTTAGCTGATCCTATATCGTTTTTAGCATGTGTTCCAAAAGCCAGTGAAAGTCATTAAAACGGCATCGACCGGGTCAAAATAGCACGCAATATTGCAGACGACACTATCGCCAGATTCATTCGGCAAGCTTTATCAGACACGTTCAAAACAATTCGGAGCGATCCCACCCAACGAAAACAAACGTTTCGAAACAAATATCTCGGTCTGAGCCGAGAATTACAACCAAGGGAATGCAAAACTCTGGTTCAAAATAGTTAGACCATAGTTAGACCTATAACTATGGAAATTACCTGTTCTCGTTGATAGATTTAATACGCTGTCAATATGATACAGATTATGCGAGAAGTTGGGGAAATAATAACTTTCTGTAAGCTGGAAAAGCGAGCTATAATCCCTCCAAAAGGGCCTTAAAGCCAGTGCTTTGTCTCAGTTATATTCTACCGATAACATATATTACTGATAAGCCTGCATTTCGTAAAAAAGGAAGGAAACATCACCAAATACCAAGTTTGAACTTAAAGAGTTGAAACTTAGGATGGATTGGCATGGAAACTTCGGATGGATCGGATGGAACGGCAATACCTAGCAATCTTTCCCGACAGCCCAACTAGCGAGTAGCCATCCCACCCAGCACATCCCCATTCGCACCTTTTTGTCCTCGCCGCCGTTTTCGGCGTTGCGCCTGGCCCTGGCGCGCTCAAACTCCACACAGTCGGCGATCTTGGTGATACCGTTCCGGCGGTACCTGCCGAGGACAAACACAAGAGGTTCAACACACGCAGTGGTACTTTCAGTCCGCGGACCGACCAACAAAGCAGCTACAACATAGTGGCAACTTAATGATATCTAAAACAAATGCTGTTGAAGATAGAGGGGAAAACTGGCAAGTCGCATATTTTAGTATGTTGTCAAAGTGGCATGGATCAAAGCTAGCATCAATGAATGCCTCATCACAGTGGCATGGAGCAGAGCTGATAAGTCATAACGTCATGAAGCCGCCCAGCTTCATGACTTTTACACCAAGGCCTAAGGGTGACGTCATGAGATCCACGTCCTGTTCACGAACCCACGCGGCCCATCGCGCACCATTCCTGCGAGATAGCCCCTCTTTCCACTGAGTCCAGTTCCCCATTCCTCACCTCATCAGCTCTTTAATCCTGTACACCAGGTCCTTCTCCGCCTGCAGATTGTCATGGAACTGCTGGTACTCGCTCCTGGTCAGGAACTGTCCGAGCGTCCGCAGTCGGTCGGCCAGCGTGCGGCCCTTGTCCTTCCTGCGGCGGGGCATGCGCGCGCCTCCCGGCAC